CGGATTCGGCCCACATTTCTGGGTTGTCAGCGGTGACGCGTAACAAACGTGACGTGTCAGCGATGACGCATAATGTGACGCATACGGCGAAGTGACATATTTACGGATTTTTCCACTTTATTAGTCAAATATGGACTGATGCAACTTATAGGGTGAAAAATACGCTATGTTGAGTGAATCTAATTTCTGTAAGAAAAATAATCAGAAATTTGCTAATGCACTCGTCAAAATCTACTTAGCTAAATTAAAAAAGTATTTGTTTATTAGTTGCTTCACCTATAAATAAAACTAATAATGGAATTTCAGTGCAACATTTCTTGTATTATGAAGAATAAAAAGTCACAGTGTACAGTTCAATACAGGAAGTGTCTGATAATCATCTCCTTAATGCGTAGAATAATTAAATATGCAGGCAGCAGCTGTGTAAATATCAAAGCCTTCTTAGCAGCTCTGATTTAACAGATATGACTCGTGTGTTTGGCTTCTCGTGATGCCTTCAGGAACTATCAGGCTGCAGCCGAGATAAGAAGTCATCATGACCGACACAATCTGATTATTGCTTCTTAAAATGTATTTTTAAATAAATTCCAGGTGTCTGACAAATCCAATGAACATCCACTTGTTTTTTTTTTCTCCTAATGGTATCATATTAAAGTGAGCACTCAGCTCGCTGCACATTTTAACACGTTTCTGATCATGTTATCCTGTTAAAATTGCATTACACACACCATAGTTCCGATGAACTGCTTTACTGCTAGATTCATTTCCTTCCAGCTCTGCAATAGTTTTATTTTGCTGAATTTTTTTTATTGATGATGGGAAACTCAGATCTTCATGAAGATCTTTCTTCTTAAATATTCTCAACGGTGTAAAAGTGTAGATAGACTTTGTCATTTCCGTTTCCTGTGCAGAAACAATGTTTAATACTTCCGGAACTGTAGTGGACTAGGCCCATGTCAAAAACTAAGTCTAAGGTCAAAAATCTTGACCTTAAGAACCTTGTGGGACAGGAACTGTCATTTCATTGATTTGAATCCAGAAATACAGGTTCACCCATCCTGAGACTTTCTCTCTTGAAGATTCAAGTGAAAAGAACACTCTCTGTTTTATTATCATTACTATTTTACAAATGTTGATAATCAAAGTGTCTTAGTTCAAACCATTTTAGATGTTGCAGTGAACTAATCAATTTTATTAACTGTGTAATGATTTTTTCTCACGCAAAGTTAGAACTCATGTCAAAGCTGTTACAGAGTAATTATGCCTTTTCTGATTTCTGCTTTTGAATGAGCAAGTGTAAGTTGGTCCAAGGTTGGAGTCAAACGCAAAACAAGTTGTTGGCATGGTTTTAGAATCCTCTCAGACATAAATATAGAGGTTTTTGGCACCTGTTTCTGAAACGCGCCAAAACAAAACTCTCTCTGTCTGTGAGAACATTTCTGATCTTTCCATAACAATTCTTGCTGTCTTCTAACCTCTTACGTCACAAAACACACCCCGTCTGGTCGGTTCTGACCAATGGTAATACTCCCAGATGAACCGGGAAAGAGCTCTTTAAAATGTCGGTACTTCCTGGTCTACTGAGCTCTGCTCGAGATCTGTAAACTACACAGTTCTGTTAGAAGTTCTGGGACAGTTCTGTTCAGTTCTGATGGAGTGCTGTTGGAGTTCTGCTGGATACACAGTTCAACCAGTTCTGTGAGAGACGGGATGATCCTGACATGACAACAGAGCTCTTCCGAGTTCCATGGGATTATAACATTTTCACTCGCCACTACTTCTGACGATTCACAGCATCCTAAGGAGACGCTGGACAGGTAGCGTTAACGGAGCTCCATATCTGCTGAGATAACCTCAGAAAGGTAATGAGTCAAGTTTCCTACCAAGCGTACCGGGGAGAGCTGGGTTCTGACGGAGTGTCAATTCTGGTGAACACTTCCCCTCCCATACCATCTTTACTCCCTCTAAACTTCTTTCCCATCTTTAAACTTTTTATCAAGTAGAAATTCTTCCAGATATTTAGAAATGTCTGTGTAAAATGCTCATCCACATCCGTGTGGGTAAAAGATCATAATTGTACAGTTTCATAAATGTCTGTGGTGAAGCAACGGAAAAATCATGGCCGTATGATTTTTCCTGATTGATTGCTTATGTTGTTATTTTCATAATTTGCCAAATTAATGTAAATGTTTGATGTTAAATTTTGATTCTGTAAATAAATGACCGCATTCATTTTGATGGGTCAAATATAAATGACGTCTCACGTTTGCATTTCCTTAAATTCAATGCACGTTTTATTCAGTCCAGAAAAATGAGGAATCCGTGTTAAATGATGAATATATCCGAGCATCTGTTCATCTACAGAACTAATATATTTTTAATTTGCTGCCATAAGAGACAAGATCAAATAATTTCCTGTGTGTCAGCGCGGTTGTCGTCTGTCTGTTGGAAAAAGTGCAACATTTGAAGTGAACGTGCAGATTGGCATGTTCATATGTAACTGTGTCCACCTATCACTTTCAAACTGCTTTCCAAAATGTTGTAAATAAAATTGGGATATTTGTTTTTATTTTTATTTATCTTGTCATTATTTCAGAAAATTCTAAAGAATAATTAAATGGATTAACTCAGAAGAATCACTAAAAAATAAAAATTTGGGCTCTCCAACTAGCAAAAACAACAGAGCTTATTTGATAGACATTTGCCTCAGTGATAATAAAAAAAGGGCTGTAAAAACACTGCACTGTTTAGCTTTTATACACGTTTGAAAAATGAATCTCACGCTGACGTAGCCATGTTGAATACCCTGAAATGAATTGGGGAAGATGGTATAGACAATTTACTATGATGTGAGCTGTAACCAGTCAGAATATTCATTTTACCGTTCAGCAGTTTCAATTTAAATTGTTGTGTGTTGACAGAGATCACAATGCAGACATGACTCCCTGCATCTGAAAATGAGGAAAACCAAACAATGAAGAGGAGCAAGTCGTCAAAAAAAAAAAACTGGTGTTTGGGCAGCTGCTGCTTGTAAATGTCAACTGGAAGAGAGCGTTTATGCTGCAAAGAGCTTTGCTTGGTATCACAGGTTGTTCATGATAAGCATCAGGATCAAACGTATTCTCCTTTATATTAGAACAGTGGGTTCCACATTAATAAAGACTTAAAACACTTTATGGTCACTGCACACACCCATCCACCTTTCCATTATGTTCCACTTGTCCTAACTTGGGTCACGAGTGTGCTGAAGCCTGTGTAAAGCAGGGGTTTGATCCATAGAGCAATACACAACAACACAACACACAGCCACAAATTATTCATGGTGAGTGCACACGAGACACAGCAGTCAGGTGCTGCTCCGTGGATGGAGGACGACAAGTGTTTGTGGAGGAGCGCGCCTCAGTTTTAGCCTTTTAATGTTTGTGTTCGGTTTCCTCCTACAGACCATGAGGCCAACAGGCTGATTGGTAACTCTAAATAGTCCCTAGGTGTGTGTGTGAGCGTGTGAACGGCTGTTTGTCTCTGTGTGTCCCTGTGATGGGGCCCGTCTCTCACACAGTGACCGCTGGACATGAGAACCAGTGGTCCCTACGACCCAAAACAGAAGAAGAGAGTAAAGATAATGGATGGATGGATAAATGTTTGTGTTAGCTCTAGCTAATATACATGGCATTAGCTTCAGGGCACTGTTTGATTGTTTCGACAGTTGCGATAGACAAAGCTTTTCCTTAGTTTACACATTTCCCAGGCGAAATTGATATGTCGGCCTGTTTCGAGGCCAACCGGGGAGTCAGATTCAGATAATCCACAATTGTTGATTTATTCAGGCAGATTGTTTTTTCTTGTCAGCCTTGAGTCTTACTGATACTTCCAAGATCTGAAATGGTCAGGTTAGGGTGCCTTCTACTGATCCGTGCTTACGAGCCTCTTCAAGGTCATTTCATGCTGACGAGTCTAAAGCCGCAGGTGGCCTGCGATTCAAATCACTTCCATCTTACGGTTTAGCTCGTAAATCAGCTGATTTTAACTCCTCAAAGCAATTGGCTGATTGATGGATGAGCCGCATGATAGGTATGGATTTTTTATTTCAAATAACTTGTTTAAAATTATTTGGCACCTACTGCACCTGCGAGCAGCCCACAAGAGCAGGAGAAGCTCCCTCCTGCAGTAATGTGGTCATGATCTCCGTTCTGCAGCAAAGAGGTGGGCGTGGCCGAGAGTGCAAGCAGGTGGCAGAGAGCGGAGATCATGACGTTCTGTGCTCTTTTAGAGCATTTAGAGTTTAAAACATTGTGTAGAATATTGAAAGAGTGTGGGAAGGGTTTAAAATGCCATATATATATATATATGTGTGTGTGTGTGTGTGTGTGTGTGTGTCCATTCAATACAACCTGTTAGCTTTGACACCTTGAGTTGTAGTTTTGACTGAAACCTATGTACAACATTCTCCTAAAATTCATTGCACAGACCTTCCTAGGTGGAAAATGTAACAGACATGTACAATTTTTAAGTAAGGAGGAATTTTCACGTGTTACACACAACAACTTTTAGTTGAATAGGAACATATTAGACTAAACATCCCTTTAACATCAACATGGGTCCAAAAATTCATCCTTGAGGAACACCACAGTTTTATTTAGATTCTTTTGAAATTATTTTAATGGATGGACACTGAGATGTTATTCCATAAATCCATGCAACAAACCAACAATTTCCTATCATTTAAACTGAGAAGGTCCCTTTTTTTTTAAGAACAAGCAGCTGCTCCCTGCATCAGTTTGAATTAAATATGTTGTTGGCAGCTAACACATGTTCCTCGCTGCAGAATGTTTTCAATGGGAGGTTCCTAACACCTAAACTGTGACACGTTACACGTTCATCGTGAACTTTAACCCCATGACGTGCACTTACCCCTTCTTTTTAGCCCCATCCATGAGATTGCGTACGACGCTTCTGTTGGACTTGGGAGTGTCGGGTTTCTCTGGTTCAGATGTGACCGATATATTCTCTGTAGCCTTTTTTTCTGTGGCTTATGATCACAAACACAAATTTATAGAATAAAATGCTGCACATTTCCTGCAGCACACCACTGCTCTTTCCACAGAAGTCATTACGGTCTGGGTTAGAGCGTATTCTGTGGTACATTATCAGTCAGACTCACTTGGCGGACTGCTCAGGATGGACTGTTTGATGACGTCACTGCTCAGCGTTTTCTGCTCGAAGCGTTTGGACCGTTCCTCCAGGAACCACTCTCCAGTCACCACCTTCAGCTCCCTGTTGTTCAAACACAACAAAATACCACATTATTAAACACTGTATACTCTAGAAAAGCAACGATTGTTTTGTAACCTGGTTGAGATTTTTGCTTTGGGTTGCACTACTGAAATGTAAGAAATAAAGTTTTTTTTCTTCCACCTGGCCACTATTTTTAAATGTGTAAATGTCAGAAGAATAAGCTATCTGAGCTAAAGCAGGGTATCAATTTTCTTTGATAGCAAATAAAAACAGAAGCAAAGCAAATGACACAAACTGTCTTTAGTTTGACCTTTTCATGCTAATATAACTAAAAATAAATGAAAACTTTGGTCTCTATTGAGGCCCAGGAAAAAAAAATAAATTGTTGTACAGTTCATTTGAACCAGGCTCTAAAACACAGTTTCTGATCTCCGTTTTGTTTTTCACGTCCTCAGATAAAAACAACTCATTAATAATTGAATGAAAAACAAATTTTAGGGGGCTAGAGCTGCTAAACTTGACTCAATGTATAAAGTACTATTTTTATGCAGCCAGAGTCAGAAGTTTACATGCACCCATGATGCACATGAAGTTTGAATGTGGAGCTTATAACTATTAGTTTGAACTTTTCTTTTTCTAATACGAATCAAAACAAACGTCCTCCTCAATTTTTAATAGGTGATGCTGAATGTTGCTTTTAACTTGATAAAACCAAGACCTACTAACTTCTCAGTAGTGGTCATGACTACATTGAATGAAAAAGGGTTTGTTTGGCAGTACTCACTGGACGGATCAGTACTCAGCTGTCACAGACAAAAGGGAATTGGTTTGGACATTCAGGAACACTCCAGGAACCACCACAGCTCAACTCCATCATGAACTGGAAACTTTTAGACAGTCCAATGTCTTTTGGAGAAAATTTTTGGTGTCAGATGAGATAAAGACTGAACTATTTGGCCACAATGACAAGAAGTAGATTTGGAGGACTTGTCAAGTTGTCATAAAAAGTTAATTCATAGACAGCATGTTTAAAGGAATAGTTTGTTTTTTTAAGTTGTGTACTGTGATGTAGTAATCTGTGGTTACGACTTTACTTAAAGTCTTAAAGAACTGAGTTTATAGATCATTTATTTTACAGTAGTCATGTTAATGGCAAGTTTGTCACTTGTCCTCACGTTTAACAATAACAGCAGCTGTCAGAGAAGCTTTTGGAAGATTTATCAAACTAAACAACGCTCAGAGAAAGACCATTCTGTGAACCAAGAACCAGAAGAAGATAAACCAAACTGGTGAACAACTTGGCTTCGTTTAAAGCAGGGGTGTCAAACTCACTTACAAAAGGGGGCCAAAATTAAAACCCTTTTCAAACTAAGGGCCAGTTTCAGAATCTACATTAACTCAAGTTAGATACCCAACATCTTTTCTTGGTCACAGGTTCCTCAACAAGAGTTTGATTGGTCTCATTTGATGTTCTCTGTCGTGCTTTCAGCATCATAATCAAAGATTGCTAAAAAAAAATTAAGAGAAAGAAATATTTTACATATCACATATCATCTTGGGGGCCAGATATGATGTCAACGAGGGCCACATTTGGCCCCTGGGCCTTGAGTTAGACACATATGGTTTAAAGGAAGATAAGAAGTCAGCTGACTCACATCTCACAGGAGAAATGGTCAAATACTCAATGTAAGGCTGCTCAGTTAAATAATACAGAAGTCCTACAAGTCATGTCGATGAATTTAAGGCTGCCTTAATGTTTACATCAATCATACAAATAACTTTGGTTTCACAAAAAATCACAACAATAGCAAAAATTATTTAAAAATGAATAAATAAATAATTTGATAACAATCCATCCATCCCTCCATCCATTATCTTAACTCTCTTCTTCCTTTTCAGGTCATGGGGGTCACTGGTGCTCATATCCAGCAGTCACTGTGCGAGAGGCGGGGGACACCCTGGACAGGTCTCCAGTCAATCCCAAGGACAAAGAAACGAGACAAACAACCATTCAGTCTCTCACTCACACCTAGGGACAATTTAGAGTTACCAATCAGCCTAACATGCATGTTTTTGGTCTCTGTGCGTGCACAAACAGAGACAACACGCAAACTCTACTCAGAAAGTCCAACAACGTCAAGTCAGGTTCTCTGGGCGGTTTCTTTTTTGTTGAAACGTTTCATCCTTCATCCAAAAGACTTCATCAGTTCGAGGAGCCACAACAAACTCAGTCTTATAAACAGCACCTTCACTTAGTGGGTCAACCAGTTTGATGGTGCTCAGACGGTTTCTGGAGTCCGCCCTCTCTCCAGCCAACTTGTTTGGGGCAGCCATGGCCAAAGTGGTTCAAGACATCCTGAATCATGCTCAGTAATCCAGGTAGAAGAATTGTTGTGGCTCCTCAGGCTGATGAAGTCTTTTGGATGAAAGATGAAATGTTTCAACAAAAAGAAATCGTCCAGAGAACCTGACTTAACTTTGTTGGATTTTTCTACCTGGATTATTCAGCATGAATCAGTACATCTACTCAGAAAGGTCCTCGGCTGGGATTCGATCAGGCAACCTTCTTGCTGAGAGCTCTAGGAACTGCGCTTGTCTCACACGTGCGTGGCTACAGCAGTTATAAACAGCTGGCAGATGCAACTTTCAGTAAAAACTTTGGAAACTGTCATCTTAAATTTGGGATTAATAGCTATTTTTGTTTGTTTTAGTGGATTATCCCATCACTGAAGCACCACACGGCCCGGTCAGACAAACAGGGACAGCTGTGGTGCCATGAATCTTCTGCAGACTCCTGTAGAGTCCATCCTTCTCCCCCGTCAACCACTCTGCTCCCCCTGCAGGTAACACACTTACGATATCTTGGAGCAGACGTTGCACCTCCACTGGCGCGACCCTGCAGCTGTAACTCGACATTGGCTGCAGACGCGCAGCCGACACTCCTCGCAGAGATCTCCACGGTCAAAGATCAGGCCCAGAGTCTTCAGGCAGCGAGCGCACTGACGCTCCCCGGGATCCTGGGGCCTGCGTGAACCTTTCCGCTTGATCTCCAGCAGCTCATTTTTCAACTTCCTGTGACGCAGAAACAGAAACAGATGAGAAATGAAAGTGATGACGACGAATGTGACGAAGATGACGTTAAAGATCCTCACCGTATTCTTTTCTCCTCTCGTTTCCTCAGTTTCTCGTCCTTCTGCAGCACCTTCAGGATCATGTCTCTCTCATGCTCCAACAGGAAGGAGAAGTTGAGCTCCTCCATGGTATTCTCCATCAGGATCCTCGATCAGCACTCGAAATAAATATCTTGTGCGAAGGAAATCAACAAGAGCTACATTTTGCTCATTTTCTCCATGCCGCCCTGGTGACAGCTGAGTTCCTCTTTTCCTGCTGGCATCACTGCAGCTGTAATGTGCAGAAGCTTGTTCCACCGTTTCCTTCCTAATGTTCTCCTTGGAGAAGCCTCTAACTGGTGATCACTCTCCGGAAACCTTAAGAACACAAAGGCACAAAACATCCAAAACATACATTAGACTAACTTTTTAAAATAATGTTGAACTGGATGTAAAATACTATCATCCAGGTGATGGGTCTCTCTGTTGGCTAGCTAAGAAAAAGCATTAATTAAAATAAAACATTTTCAGCAGGAGGAAATGCAACTAATTGGTGGACACTTGGCAGCTCTACAGCAGCTTAACAAGCCCAATTATGGTTTTAGCCTGATACTCAGAGTACTGCATCCATTTTTCTCTGCTTCCATGATTCCATCTCATTTATTGTATATTTCTCTGAAAAGCCACGAGAAGACTTGTTCTCATTATCTGCACGCCTGCAGACCAGGTCTCACTGCTACATAACACTTACCTGGCCCCAGAGACAAGCTTTCCAGCAGCTTTAGAGACACGTCAGCAAAGATGGAGACATCACACAGAATTAGAGCACTGCCACTGCCAAGCAAATTACTGAGACATTTAATTTAGGGCCACTATCAGACCTGCACTTTTGATTTTCTGTGAACATTTTCAACAATTACTGGAAAGTCGGTGCAAACGTTGTGCGACAATCACTTTGTTTTCAATTTACGTAATGCTCAATCTTTGAGGGTTTCAGTTATTTACTGCTAAATCTTATAAAATGCCAGTTCAATTTTAAAGTAAATGAGTGTCAGTAGTTTGCAAAACATCTTACTGGACAGATTTTACTGAAACTTGCAGGAAACATTCAATGAATGAACATCTACAACCCATTAGCTTCTGAAGCCAGCACATTTTAAGATGGCCACAAAAGCCAGCTGACCTTAGGGAACAAAAACAGCAATTATTCTACAGAGACTGCGCTAAACTGGTGTGGTAGTACCCGAGAGTCATTCACAACACACGCTCTAAGTGCTACTCATTGTGCAAGACAAAGAGTAAACTTTAACACTAACTGTTGGACACAACCCTGTTAGTCTGTTAGCAAAATACCACACAAACTCAACAGATTTTAAAGAAATAAAGGTTGAATGAATGAAAATACCCCCAACCCAACCAAAAATAAACAAATCAATCAAAACACAAAAGATATCGAGCTATAATTTTGTAGTCATAGATGAGTCATCCTCAACACGTACTCTGAGCATGACGTGACACAAAACGTTAAAAATAATGTTTGACCAAAAACAAAACAAGACCGTCGTTTCTTAACACAAGATGATCTCAGTCTAAAACTCTGTCCTGACACGTTGTGAGTGATTTGTGTTCCTTCAAGGTACCAGGCCCTTTGTCTTTAAACATTTTGTCCTGATTTAGTTGTTATTTTTAAGTGTTTCAAATCCACAATCATCACATTCTTACATTAGATAAAATAAGAAACTGCTGTTAACGTGCACTGCAGTTTCAATGGATTGAACCTCTGTTTGCATCTACATTCAGTAACAAAAGAAAATAAAAGCAACAATATAATGATCTAAAAATGAATCTATGCATAAAATGAAGTGGTGCACCACTAACGCCAGATAAAAACATCCCTCCTTCCTGACTGGTGAGTGGCTGTGATCAGCTTAATGTCTTGTTTATTGGAAATCACATGCCTTCAAAACTAAAACTAAATTCTTCATCAAGTCTGACCAATTAAACCAATTAGAAAGAAATAAGTTAGAAGATAAACAGTCATTAAACTCATACACTAATAGCTATAACAGGGTGATGGGAGCTGCTGGCTGAAGGGAAGAAGTTAGGCTGAAGCTGACGTATTTTAAGATGAAAGACTTAAATTCAGATTTGTGCGAGGAGCTGCATAAACTCAAACCATCCTCCTTCAGGCCCTCGTCCTCTCTCCTCTCACCTCTTCCCTTCATTTTTTGTGAATTAGCACTAATGAACCAGCATCATCAAAACTCCATTTGCAGCCAGAGGCTCATCAGTGATGAGACCATTTTCAGCTGAACTCCAGCTGCTCCGTCGCAGCCTCTGACAACATTTTCCTTCAGATTTTAGACATATGGAGGGGACTTATAAGAGGAAACATTATGAGTTGAAGAGGCTGGAATTACTCACCATTTTTAATACACATTTTGCTGTTTTATTTAATTGAGAATTCATTATTTGGTCTGCAGCCACAGAGCAGAGAGGCTTCACACAGACACAGTGGCTGAGCTGAATATAAACGTTGTCTTAACGATATTATTTATTTCATTTTACTATAATATGCTGAAACCTTTGTGCTACAGTGGGAAAACAGCCTAACAAATAAAAAGATTACATGATCGGGTTATGGTTGTGTAAATAGACGTATTACAGGATTAAAATGTTGCATCAAATGTTATTACGTCATTCACAAATTGAACTCTCGAGTTTTTTTTTTTTTTTAAGTTCTCAGACCTGAATAATCTTGTTTGTTCAGTCAGTCAGAAAATGTGCGGAGATAAAAATTTCAACGCCTGCTTCAATTAAATAAACTCTCCATCAGCAACAAAGACTTTATAAGGAAGAGTTCTTGGAAGAGTTATGATAACATCTCGCCTGCTCACAGTTTGAACAACCGCAGTTTGTAAAAGTAGAGTTTAGATAGGACCAGATCGATGAGATAACTGGTCTGAGTGGACCGCTGCGGCCTTAAAGAACTCGTCTCAGAAACTTTAAAGCAGTCACAACCCAGTTCTAGATGAGTAATCAATATCAGCAAACACAGAAACGGCCATAGCTGCATGAAAATGACAAATATGGAGCTAAAACTTGTTGTGGAAGAAGCTGAGAGTAATCCTGACACATGCATGCAAGATGTCTGAAATGTTGTCGAGCAAAGGCTGCATGAGAGAAATATTTTTTAAGACATTAAATGATAATTTAATTTACTTTGCTTTCCTGTTTTTATCTATTCAGGGTCATTTGGAGGAGACGTTGCACAAGCCAGGTGTCTAAGTGTGAAAGGGGGTCAAAGGTCAACACAGGTTTAACGCAAATCTGTGGTCAATTATTCTGTAGAAACATCCAAGGTCAGCTTAGAGTCAACAGGTAATTGAATCCATGTTTCTGGATGATGGAAGTATTAAAAACATCCAAAAGCCACACAGAAACAAACCTTCTTTCCGAGATGCACCAGTCAACACACCCAAAATTATCCCCGATACTTTTTGTTTTTACCAACAACAACAAAAAAAAAAGATAAAAAAATATCAGGAACTCAAATAAAAACAGGAACTTTTAGGTTTGCAAATAATGTTTTCTACATTGTTGATTCAATTTAACCAGAACTGTATCCAGATATTTATTGATTATAAAGGTTTTCTCTCTTTTTCATAGTTTAGCAAATGTGCAAATGACAGATTTCTAAATTGTACCATTTTAGATCATGTTTTATAATTGAGGTTTTAATAAAAAGGTATTCATGGAGAAAAAGAGCTGTGATTAAAGCCATAAATAGTAGATAGTCAAAGATAGTCAACATCTTTCAAAAACAGATGTTTTTGTCTTTTTTAGGAGATTTTATGAAAACGTATTTTGTGAAATGCTGTTTTTTCCCCTCCTTCACATTAGCTGAAGAGGCTGCGGTAGCTCGGTGGTCAGTGCTGCAGTCTTGTCATCCTGAGGTTACAAGTTTGACCCCAGGCTGTGTCAGGAAGGACCTCTGGCGTAAAACAAATAGCCAAATCTTTCACGTGACTCACTGTGCTGAACCCTGAAGAAGGGAGCAGCCAAAATAAACTTTTTATATTAGCTACAGTAGCTTTGTTGTGTTTCTGTTTCTGCACCTAATAATCAACATGCCTACATTTATTCCCATCAACACTAAGAAAAAAGGAAATTCAATAAAAAAGAGCAAAAAATGAGTGGGACAACAAACATCATCCAGCATCACATGATTCACCTGATGTTCTGCGCACACATGACAAGCACTCGGTCAACAGTGACAGTAAAGCGACACTAATATTTATCCATCGTATCACACAGCTACACTGTCGGTGTGTGTGTTTCTGTAGACGTGGTGCAGCCCTCCCTGAGCACACACATCACACATTCCCTCTGCCCTGAGTAAACAGGCTGTAAAAGTTTGGCGTCACAGAGGAGGAAACACTTTGCTGCTCAGCTTTGCACTAACACTGTTGCTTCGGGTAAAGTAGGTGAATCAGCAGTCTTAACATGCAGGAATCCACCTCTTACATTGATCAGTGTGTTGTTTAAGCACAGAGAATATTTGCTTACTGATTGGTTCTGCACAACCTGGCTGCAAACCCACATGGTCTTGGCGTCTGCTTGGCAGTCTTTTCCCATGTTGTCTGTGGCATTTTCTGCAGGTGGCTGAGTTCACAGACGGCAGAATCAATCTGGCAGCTAAAGACTGGACGTAAGCTTCGAACAGCTGGTCTTTAGTTGGCAGGGAAGCGAAATATAGATGAGAGCAAAACAAAGGCAATATATGTAAATTTATCCTC